ATAAAAGTCCTACATTAATTCTGGACAAACAGTAAAGTCAAAAGTAGGCCAAGTTCCACAATTTCTGGCCAGGATTCTTAAATCTACCCCCCTCCTGATCATAATTGTTCCTGGTGCTCATGTGTAGCCAAGATGGTTGGGGGGGTTAAGGAGAGTTTGAAGAAAGAAGAGATGTGGAGACTTGGAACTTAGTAATCCTGGCTATTCTCTGCCATGACTAACACTGCACTGTAAGCCAGGACCACGCCATTCAGCAATAAGTATATGCTGCATAATGAGCAATCTCCTGTTAAAGGAAGACAACATATTTTCCACAGTCATGCTCAACTAATTTATTAGTGCTTTTTGAGATGGCAAAGAGGCATCTGGCTAAAGTAGTCTGTGGAAATGATTTAATTAGATTGAGGAAAAAAATAAGAAGAAAGATAAGAAGAACTTTGACAAGTTTCTACATCAAACGCTGTTCAAAACACTGCATCACCATAGGGTTGGGATGTGTGTGCATTTTGCCATGAATTTGCTCAGAAACCGGTAATAGAGAAGAAATAAACAAGCCCTTTAGAAGATGGGAACTTGTAATAAGTGAGATTCTTCAAAGATCAAAGACAGCATTTGTCTTACTAAACATCTTTATAACATATTGAAGATTTACTGTAAAGTAAAAAACCTCAATATGTGGATAGCAGTGAATTCTTCCAGTTAGTGAGAAGCCAGAGGAATTGGAATCCCCAGCCAATCAGTAATTAATGACTGAGGAGTTCATTACAAAATCCCAGCCAATCAATCGCAGGGTGGTACTTGAAATGTTGCGGGCATTTCTAGACCAAAGAAAACTAGAAATTGCTGCTTTATGCCTCAGTATGGTGTCTGGGAGAACACCGAACACATATGAGGTGCTCAATCATTATAAAAGTTTTTATACCAGATTTCAGATGACCTTGGCTATCTCCCACCTGAATGGGTGATTGCAGAACTATGCTGAGAAACAGTCCCAGTCCCTGTCACAGCTAAGTGTCAGTGCAAAGATTTATGAGCAATGTCTGCTATGGAAAAACAAGCAGAGGTCAATGAAAAGATGACGAGTATCTGAAGACTGTAAAATGTTGAGCTGTTGGATAGCAGGAAACAAGGAAGTCAGACAGCAGTGTACTTCAGCAACTCAGTGGCCACCAGCAAGTCCCTGGAGCAAGGGAGTAAGACGAGCTGGTGCAGAGTTGAAGTTAATCTGGTGGCAAAGCTTTCAATGAATGTATCCTTGCTGTTCATCCTACTTTATCAGCTGTGGACATCCCAAAGACTCCAGTAAAAGGACAACATAGGTCAAGCTCGAACGACTGCACCTGCTTCCTGGGGCTCCTGAGTCCTCTCATGTCTTAGGAAGCTTGAGCAGTTATCTAATCTTTCTTCGGGGCAGGGCTGGGTTTCTCTGATTTGACCATAAAGAAACTTCTAATGCACAGACTCAGGGTTCTGACAACAATCAAAACAATCACAAGTAAAAATAATAGTAATAGGCCTGGCGCGGTGGCTCATGCCTGTAATCCCAGCACTTTGGGAGGCCAAGGTGGGCGGATCATGAGGTCAGGAGTTTCAGACCAGCCTGGCCAACATAGTGAAACCCTGTCTCTACTAAAAATACAAAAGCATTAGCTGGGCGTGGTAGCAGGCGCCTATAACCCCAGCTACTCGGGAGGCTGAGGTAGAAGAATTGCTTGAACCCAGGAGGCGGAGGTTGCAGCGAGCCAAGATTGTGCCACTGCAATCCAGCCTGGGCGACAGTGCAAGACTCCATCTCAAAAAAATAAAAATAAAATAATAATGGTAATAATAATACTAGAGCATTTGAAAGACATTAAAATGTGTTCACCTTCCTGGAGTAACCCATTTAATCCTGTCAAAATCCCAGTGAGGTATCATGATCGTGATCTTCACAGATCAGGCTAAAAGGGTTTCTGTGTTCTGCCTGCTTCACACGGTCAGAGGAGGATAGAGATGGAAACTGGCAACTATTAGTCATGCTGTTCAATCAATGAATTAATGAATGACGTGGTTAATTTGGGTTTTCTCACCCAAGTTTTCGTACCATGCCTATTTTTCCAGTATAGGTAGCTAAGGGACCCTCTCCTCTCTACTTTATTTCATTCTTAGGCATAAAAGATAATGTTTTGTGAAAATGGTTTTGCCTTTTCTGGCTTGGTGATTTTCTGTAAGCAAATCAGATATCACACTCTGTGATCAATATTGAAGAAAAAGAGAGAGGAGGGGAGGGAAGAAGAGAGAGAAGGGGGACAATGGTAGGGAAAGAAAGGAGGAAGGAAAAAACAGCCCAAATACAGCCCCACCTCATTTGCCATCCTGAACCCCTGGACCTGCCACTCTGACAAGGCCTCTCCCTCGCCTCCACTCTGCCATGGCCTTTTCCCAGGTCCCAGGTTCTGCCTATGTCTTATTCTTTGAACCTGAGGCTTAGGATCGCTTCTTTGGGTTTCTCTGCTTGATCACAACTTGAACTCATCTTTTGAATCACATTCTTTCCACCTCCCTTGGCAAGGTATGACCCTCAGGCCTCCCACCTCAGTCCAAGGCTTCAAAGCCAGAACCCACCTTCCTCCCAGCTCCCAGGTTGGAACTGGGACAATGAATGGGGCCGGGAAAATCATCGTCCCTTGAGAGTCACTTATTTGAACTGATCGTCAGGACACCAGGAGCCAATTCAGCAGTTCTGCTTCTAGGACCTCACCCATTCCCTTTCCCTCTCTAGGCCTGTTTCCCTATCTGCACCGGAAAGAGATTGAGTCAGGTGTTCTGACGGTGCCTCCAAAGCCAAGATCCCAGAATATCTGCTTCCCTGTGGAACAAAGTAGAGGCAAAGGATACAACAGAACCAATTTCTAGCCGAGTAGATTCGCCTCTGCCCTGGGGAGTGAGAGGGTGCAGCAGAAATTCAGCAATTCTTTAGCACTGGCCCAAGACATGATGGACAGGGAAGAATCCTGTAATCATGAGGCAGGAGAGAGCACAATCCATTAAGACCTTTTAGCCACAGCCTCCACAGAGCCGTTCACCTCCTGCTGTGCCTGTGAGCCATGTCACCCCCAGCGTTCTCAGCCAAGGAGCTCTCTCCTGCTGGCCTCTTTAGCTCACTCGGGTTGCTGCCCTGCCCTAAAGCCCACATTTAAGTCAACCAAAAAGACTGCAGGAAGAAATGCAATCTAAAAATATTAACATCCCTTTGGGACCTGATTTCTTTTTCTTCTTTCGACAAATGGAAAATCCCCAGGGGTTGTTCTGAGCTGATGCCCAGATACTGCGCAAATAACAGGCCATGGTGCAGCCTCTGGCTCAGCCCCTTTCTCCAACAGATGAGGAAATTAAATTTCAGAAAGGTTTGGTCACTTGCTAGGAATCACACAGCCACAATTACCTAGCTCAGAGAACATGTATAATGCAAAGATCTAATGGGGCTGTTTTCCTTGCAACAACTTGTGTTGCCTCCCGGTTGGCACCATTCAATCTGACTACTCCATCAGGACCTGATTAAATCTCAGAGCAGACTTCTCAGACTGCCATCAAACTCGATTTTAATTCTCTCTCACGTTTTCTGAGTAGGACTGTGGCCTTCTACCCTGGCCCCAGTAAGATGTTTTCTGAAACTCCTGTAATACACTTCACAGTAAGATGGAGGCTTTTACCTAGCCCAGACCTGTATCTCTCTTCTTCACACAGACAGATGCAGGTTTAGCTCTACCTGCATGACCACCACAAAGGCAAGGAAAAGGAATGCTTGGCAAGAAATGCACTAGCTCACTTCTTTATTTATCCTTTGAGACGGAGCCTCACGTTGTCGCCAGGCTGCAGTGCAGTGGAGCCATCTCGGCTCACTGCAACCTCCACCTCCCAGGTTCAAGCAATTCTCCTGCCTCAGCCTCCTGAGTAGCTAGGACTACACATGCATGCCACCACACTCAGCTAATTTTTGTATTTTTAGTAGAGACGGAGTTTCGCCATGTTGGCCAGGATGGTCTTGATCTCTTGACCTCATGATCTGCCCACCTCGGCCTCCCAAAGTGCTGAGATTACAGGCATGAGCCACCGCACCCAACCTGCACCAGCTTTTAGAGTGATACATGTCACTTCTTCCTACATGTCTTTGGTCAAAACAAGTCATATGGCCACACCTGAGTTTCAGCATGTGGGGATGATCCTACCATGTGCCCTGGGCAAGAGAACCAAGTACCTGTGAAAGACCCTACCTTTGGCCACAGAAAGGTGTTTGCTCTCCTCTTTAGCAGAGAGTCTTGGATAAGCTTAGATAAGTTACCCAACCTCCCTGAGACTCATCAAGTGCAGGTTGAGTACCCCTTATCCAAAATGCTTGTGACCAGAAGTGTTTCTGATTTTGGACATTTTCAAATTTTGGAATATTTCCTTTATGTACTTACTGGCTGAGCATCCTAAATCCGAAAATCCAAAATCCAAAAATGCTCCAATGAGCACTTCCTTTGAGCATCACGTTGACACTCAAGAGTTCCAGATTTGGGGGCACTTGGGATTTTGAATTTGGGGATTTGGAATGCTCAACCTGGACCAATTTTACAAGGTCACAGTGAAGATTAAATATGAAAATATAATGTGAACTACTCCACAAAGTATACCTATCCAATTATAAATATGTATACATTTTATTATAATAATAATGATACAGATGTTGAACTTGTCATTGCTAGGATATTTACATAACAGAGAATGCTGAGCTGAGGATAGGTTGATCTGCATTGTCATGAAAAATTTTTAAAAACAACAGATAAACACCTATGTGTCATGGTTCATTATTGTGGTAAACACAATGATGTCCTTTGTGATTTTTTAGGAGGTTGGGAGCAGGGCAGCGGCAGGGAGAAACTCTGTCTACCGTGTAAGAGGCCGCTAATAGCACCCACCAGTGTGCACACATTAGGTAAAGATCAGTCAGAAACATCCACCTCACACTACAGGAAAGAGCACTGTTTAAACACACAGGTTTGCTGCCTTGCAATGGCTCTCAGAGCACTTCTGTGCCCTCCGCTCCTGACTATGGATTGGTGGAACCCACAGCCACAATCCCAATCCTCAGCTCAGAGACTCTCTTGAAACTCTGGACTCTGATGGGGTAATTACCACCAAAATAATGACCTGGTGCTGACGCACTCCAGTTGTCTGGACGGGGGGAGAGGATAAAGACGACTAAGATGGCGCATTTCCGGGTTCTTCATCACCAACTTACCCGCGCGCGGGAAAATGCAGCCCACGCCCGGGAAAAATACAAACCAACTGCGCAGGCGCAACATGGCGTCCAATCAAGGAAACCAAAACTTACCTGGCCGCACCTAAAAAACGCCCCCAACACGCCCGTGTCCCGTCTATTGCCCTCCCACTCCCAAGCCTTAAACAAAAAAGTCGATCCCGGCAGGCGCGCGGCGCGAACTTCCTCGGCCCCTCCTCATATGCGAACCTAGAAACCTGGCCCAAAAACGCCGGAGCAACTTCCTCGGCCTCCACCGCCGGAAACCGGTAAACTTCTCCCTTTCTTCCTTCACATTGGCTAGCTAATAACGTTTCTTTTTTACCTCGCCTACTTGCCTTTTCTCTGGCGCCTGCTCTGGTGGTCGCATAAAACAAATCACCAGTACCCAGTTCTTATCTTCCCATTTCATTCTGCTGAAGACAGCCGTTCTTCTTGCACCAATGGTTTTCTGACCAATAGTTCTCAAAAACTTCCAACCTGGTCTACTGGCCACTGGTTCTGACAGTGAACCACTTACTTCCCCGGCCCCTTGATAGAAATTGAGAAGGATTCATGGGAAACAGATGTTTAGCTCTTGCCTTGTTAGGTAAACTGAGTCGATTGGGAGGGGAAGTTCATTTGAATGGAGGAGAGTTGGCTTCCTGGTGAAAAACAAGGAATCTTAATTCATTCTCTCTCTCTCTCTCTCTCTCTCTCTGTTTCTCTCTCTCTTTCTCATGCAAATGAGGATACATTATGATGTAAATCCAGCTGGTCAAGTATGGTGTTGTGTTTATACCCGGAGGAGATTGTTATCAAATGCCCAGTGAGCCTGAAGCATGTCGACAGACAAGCCAGGTCATTGAGAACCCTTGGCCCAAACTGCAAAGCTTCACTGCCCAAATGAATCAAATCTATCAGGGGGTTAGCACACCACTTCTTTCTGGTCAATGTATATTCAGCCAAGGTGAGCTACAATATATCAGCATATTATTCATCCCAAAAACACTTAAGAGGAGAGGAAAGAAAGTAGAGCTTCCATATGCACCCACATGCAATGGTTCTACAGAGTAGAAGGCATTTAGTCAGGGGATAGGGACTAGAGGTTTACTGGATTTGAGGACTTTAAAATAAGAAGTCTGAGGATTATTATGTAGGAAACTTTTCTTCAAAACTAAGGGTTGGTGAGTATCGCTAGCTTTAGCTAGATTAGTGAGTAACATCCAGAGCTATGCTACCGCCATAATTCCAGCAGCAGGTGCATGTGACGTCTTCCCTGATAGCCCCTGGGCCCACCAAGTCATTGTGCCCCTCAGTTCCCAGCCACCATGACCCAAAAAGAGTGTCAGAATTTCCCCTACTAGTGCCCAGATTTTCCTAATTATGATCATTGCTTGAGTTCCTGCTGGGAGCTAAGCAAAGTAAAGTACTTTACAAATATCATCTCCTGTATCCTCCTAGCTGAAAACTGAACCTCATAAAGGCTATATCACTTAGCCACAGCCACACATCTTCTCAATGCCAGAGTTGAGGTTTGGGGCTGAGCCAGTCTAACTTCAAATCCTGTGCCTTCCTCTTTGACCTCAGCAGGCTGCCTCCCTGCTGAGAGCCCTGACCCTCTCTCATGAATGATTCACATTAAAGAGCAGTTTGGGATGACAGAAAAAAAAAACAACTCATCAAATTTAAGAAAAGATAATGGTGATCTGGCAGTGCTGGGTGACTCTGAATTTAATGTCATAAGAACAAAATAGAACAATCAGATCTAATTTTTGTCAGTTCCCCATAGAGCATCTAGTCCAGCGCTTGGAAATGCCCATGACTTCAGAGGCCAGTAAAGAGACAGCAAGGAGTCAAGATTCTCTGCTGAAGAGAAACGAAAATACCTTTCTGTGGTCAAAGGTAGGTAAAGAGCAATCGGAAACATCCATCTCACACTAGAGAAAAGAGCACTGTCTAAACACACAGCTTTGCTGCCCTGCGATGGCTCCCAGAACGCCTCTGTGCCCCCTGATCCTGACTATGAGTTGGTGGAACCCATAGCCACAATCCCACTCCTCAGCTCAGAGACTCTCTTGAAACTTTGGACTCTGATGGGGTAATTACCACCAAAACAATGACCTGGTGCTGACCCACCTGACCCACTCCAGCACCCAGTTCTGTTCTTCCCATTTCATTTTGCTGAATGAATGATGCAAGCCATTCCTCTTGCACCAATTGTTTTCTGACCAATAGTTCTCAAAAGCTTCCAACCTGGTCTACTGGCCACTGGTTCTAACACTGAACCAGCTACTTCCCTGGCCCCTTGATGGAAATTGAGAAGGATTCATGGGAAACAGATGTTTAGCTCTTGCCTTGTTAGGTAAACTGAGTCAATTGGGAGGGGAAGTTCATTTGAATGGAGGAGAGTTGGCTTCCTTGTGAAAAACAAGGAATCTTAATGCATTATTTTTCTTCTACTCTCTCTCTCTCTTTCTCATGGAAGTGAGGATACATTATGACACAAATCCAGCCGGTCAGGTATGGTGTTGTGTTTATACCCTGAGGAGATACCCTTCACAAATATTTGCTTCTCCTGCCCAGGGCACCTGGTAGGATTGTCTCCATCTACTAAATCTCAGGCATGGCCATATGACCTGCTTTGACAAATGACATGTAGGAGAAAGTGATGTTTGTCACTCTAAGAGCAGGTGCATTTCCTGCCAAGCTTTCCTTTTCCTTGTCTTTGTGGTGGTAGAAGTCTGTGTTATAAGGGAGCCTCCCACGGCATAGATCCCTGAATGCCTCTGTGGAGTAGTGCACTTCTGCTGTCACATGATAGATATGTTTTATGAGTGAGAAATTATTTAAAATTATGGAGGTTTTGTGGCGTTTGTTACTGCAACTGCCACAAAATGGTGGTATTGTTACACTTGCACAAGACATCCATAGTAAATAGTAATACAAGTAATGAAAAAATAAGAAAATAAATACTAGACTCTGTTGTATTATATATATACACATATATATGCACATATATATGTGTATATATGTGTAAATCGCATATACATGTTAGAGTCTGTTTTGAAGTTTCCAGGCAAGTTAATTGGGTCCAGAGTGGTGAATATTTGACCAGTGTTGTGCACAGGGACATACATGAAAGTCCCAAACCAAAAATCAAGATCTCCTTGTCCCCAGATGATCAGAACCACACTTCCTGAAGCCTTAAATTTGGTCTTCATGACAAAGAACAATCCCCTTCATTCTGAACTTCGTTCTGAAATTCTCCATCAGGATGTTATAAACATCATCATAGGATCTGCTTTTTTTTCCTGAGACCTTATTGTTTAAATCTTCTGGATGTCGCTGTTTATTTTTCTCTGTGTGATGTTTTTAGGACATTGGAGGTGCATGCTAAATAATAATTGCAGCAAGTATTAACATTAATTAGTTTTTCCAAGTGCTGTGATAAGCATTCAAAATTACTTATCTCACTTACTTCTTATAAATTTGGAGACCCTAGACTTCCACCTGCTCTCACAGATCATTATAGAAAGACCACATAGTCATCGTGGATTGTTGAGGGGAGCGTCTTATGTATCAGGATTTACATGCAGATGGCAGAGCTGAAAGGGTCTCGGGAGAATATCTTTTACAGCTGGGAACTCTGAAGTTTAGACAGAGGAGGGGGCTTGCCTAAGGTAACACAGCAACCTAGAGACCCAGGACTGACACTAGGTGTCCTGTCCTGCGGTTCACTTCACTTTTTCCAATAAACTTCATGGAATTGTCTGAAGACAGCTAGCAACATATGATATGTAAGATGAACAGTGTTAAAGAAGCTAGACAAAGCAGACATTTAGTAAATCGGAAGTCCCCACCTTAAACCAGGAATAATCTGCAGAGATGAAGGTCCCCACATGACAGCAAAGAAGCACAGAGAGCAAAAAGGAGCACAGAAATATATCCCAGCTCAGAGTCAAAGGAGCATGAGACCTGGTGAGGACAGCTGGGGACAAAGCCCTTGGCTCCCTTAAGATTCTCTGATACGAGGCAGATTCCTAGGAGAAAAGACAACACCTGCATTTAACATGTATACATGGGAGTCAGGCATGGTATCTCATGCCTGTAATCCCAGCACATTGGGAGGCTGAGGCAGGCGGATCACTTGAGGTCAAGAGTTCAAGACCTGGCCAACATGGTGAAACCCCGCCTCTACTAAAAATACAAAAGTTAGCCGGGTGGGGTGGTGGGGAGCTCTTGTAATCCCAGCTACTCAGGAGGCTGAGGCAGGAGAATCACTCGAACCCAGGAGGCAGAGGTTGCAGTGAGCCGAAATTGTGGCACTGCACTCCAGCCTGGGTGACAGAATGAGACTGTTGCAAAGGAAAATAATAATAATTAAAAAGTAATAAGAATTAACTTTTTTACGTTGGAGTATTCAGAATGAAAACTCAAAGATACAGAAGAAGTTGTCCATTTTCATGCTTAGATTCAACAAAGGGTAGACAACCGAGTGGAAATAGGATTGGACATAAAGGGTCCAATGGAATGCCAATAGACTGAGTGGGGACAGGCAGCAAGGCCTCTCTGTCTAGATTTTTCTTGGCCTCTCTGAGCAGTGTTCCTTCCTTGTGAGTGTGGGACACGACCCTCTCTGGAATGGGAGTCTCATGATCTATAGTCAATCATTTCTTTATGGCTAGTACTTTACCCAGCAGGTCAGAATAATATTTTTAGAGTTCCTGGTTGACTTTCGGAAAGAGGGGTTCCGGTTTCTATGAACTGCCTTGGGGAAGAGGGCGGAAGGAAGGAAGGGAAGGAGGGAGGGAGGAAAAGAGGGAGGAAGGGAGGGAGGAAGGAAAGAAAGAGAGAAAGAGATGGGAGGGAAATTGAATGGAAAGAAAGGGAGAGAGGAAAAAGAAAGAGAGAAAGAAAGTATATGGGGTGGGGAGGAAGGAGGGAGAACAGAAAACAGAGAGGGAGGCAATAAAAGAGATTAGAGAAAGATCAAAGAGAGGGAGGGAAGATGAGAGGAGGGAGGAGGAGGGAGAGTGAGTGGGGCCCTCCACAGCTGCATGAAATCCTTGCGGTGAACCTAGGTTCTTGACCAGAGAGACTGGAGCTCTGGTCTCTCTGTGTGATCTTTGACATATTTAATATCTTTAAGCCAGTTTCCCCCTGGGTAAATAAAGACAATAATATTGACCTCTCAGGGTCTGTTGTGAAGATTAAAAGGGACACCTTGTGAAAAAAAAAATTACTAGTTTCACTTGCCCTGTGAAGGTGGGCTTCCTGGAATCCTGCTCATCTTTGTCAGGAAAGCTTGTGGGAGGAGGCTGTGTTATCTGTGTGTAGACAGCCCTGAAATCTGCATATGGCTCTAGTAGTTGTCAGTCTCTGCTTGAGGTTTGCAGGGTAATTAAAGGCACAGTAGGCAGGTGTCATTAACTTGTTAACCTAAAGTTTTCGCCCCACTCCCCACCCCCACAGGAAGGGAGATTGCAAATGTGTTTGGAGGAACCAAGTCTGACTTAGAGTTTCCTTTCAATTATTTTCCCTGGAGCCTTGCACATTTGTTGGGCTCGTTATTAAAACTCAGGGTCTGCATTGTATTAATCCACCACACCTCTCCGGATGAACATAGTGGGTGCCAGTCTCCTTAAACTCAATGCTGCCTAAAGGAGATCCCTGACCTCCTGTCCACGTGGTTCCCTCCATTCCAGCTCTGGGATGCAGACAGTGTTTAACATTTCCAGCTAAATTGCTCAAGTTATGCAATTAGGCCTTCTGAGTAGAAGCTCTATTTTTCACATGCTTCTGGGGGCCATCAAAGCAAGGATTCTCTGAATGGCACTTTTGAAATTCGGAATGTAAGGCTGACAGTAATAACACTGGACGCATGCCTTCACACAATTGGCAGTGACTGCATACACCTCAGCTCATTTATCACCAGGGCAATATGCATGGGGTATGGCTTTGTCCGCTGGATGCATAAGAATGCTGAGGCTCAAGAAGCTCAAATCGCTCGGCAGAGGGTGCCTGGTTAGTGAGTGGTACGGAAGGAGTCTCATGCGAGTCTTTGACCACTTAGCTGGGACCCCGTCTGTCTTAACCCACATGGTAGCTGTGGTACTTTCCACAGTGCCTGGCATATGAAATGTGCTCAGTAACTATTTATCATTCACTGTTTGCTTCTGGAGAAACAATAATTCATGCCATTATGTAATTCACACCTAAGAGTGTGTGGACATTTTCAATCCTGCTTATAAAGTGAAAACAAAGGCCTATCTAATCCTACTAATTCATCTCAGCTTATGGGATGATTTCAGGGTATGACGACTGTGACATGGTAAAAAATATATATATACATATATATACACACATATATATTTACACACACACACATATATATATATATAGTCTTCTACCTCTTCCCTGCCATACGACTCCTAAAATTCTTAGGATCTCCAAAGTAATGTCTTTATGTATATTAATGAGAGGACTGGTGGCTGGCAGCCCCTAAGTAGCTTCAGGATGGGGCTGGTTACTGGAAAGACCAAGGCAGGATTGGAGGGTTGAACTTTCAGCCCCGCTTCCCAATCTTCAGCTGGGAGACGGCAGAAGATTAAGTTGATCACCAAGGGCCAATTATGCCTACATAATACAGCCTCCTTAAAAACCCAAAGGGCAGGGTTCAGGGGCTCATGAACAGCTGGATACGTGGAAGCTCTTGGAGGATGGTGCACCCAGGGAGGGCACGGAAGCTCCTCACTCCTTCCCACATGCTTTGCCCTGAGCACCTCTTCATCTGTATCCTTTGTAACATCCTTTATAACAAACCAGTAAACCTAAGTATTCCCCTGAGTTCTGTGAGCTGCTCCTGCAAATAATCAGACTTAAAGGAGGGGATTGTGAGAATC